GCATTCATATGCTTGATAAAAGACTGGTCTTCAAGAAGAAGAGGGTTGAGGCGCCAGCTATATTTTGGACTAGACAGGATATTTCTGAAATTAAGAGAAATTGGACTGTGATCAGATATTAGAATTAGTATCACTGGGCAGTAATTCAGAAGCTATCAGAAAATAATCAATCCTAGTGTAAGACTTGAAGACTGAGAATAAAAAGAAAATTCCTTATCTGTAGGATGCTGCAATTGCCATATTTTAACCATATTCCTTGTTTTAATTAAATCATTCAGAATTCCCACTGAGGTTATTGCAGGAGGTAGTTTTGTAGAAAGTCTATCTAGGACCGGGTCAAGATAACAATTAAAATCAAATCCAATAATAACATTCGGGGTAGAGGCTGGTATCAAATCAAATGCTTTACGGAAGAAGTCAGGATTATCAATACTTGGACCGTAGATGTTAAGCATTGTTATCACAAGGGAGTTTATGTGCCCAGATATCATCAAATACCTGCCATATGGGTCTGCTGTCATACAATCAAGGCAAAATGGTATATTTTTTCGGAAAAGAATAGCAACCCCCTAGACTTGCGGGTAAAAGGTGTTTGATAAACTTGTGAAATCCAATTCGCTCTCAACCTGCACTGCTCATTTACACTAATGTGCGTTTCCTGGAGAAAATGAACGTCTGGCTTTAATGACTTGAGATGCAAGAAGACTCTACCCCTTTTAACCACATGACCCAACCCCTTTACATTCCATGAGAACAATGTAAATGTATCATTTATACTGCCATGTGTTATGCTATCGGATACTGACATTATTTCTAGAATAAAAACAATCTGGTATCCTCTCAAAAGTGCACAAAACATAATAAAACAAGACACGTAAAGAACCTACCTTATAACCTGAGGTAACACACTCAAACAAACCCATGAACCTGAACATGTCCCCTACCCGCCCACAAGCACTTCCCCAAACAAAGCACAGACATACCTTCATGCCCTGGACCACTACATGCACGGCTGAAACCCGTTTTCAAACCTGTAACTCCCTGTTAAAGCTGTGATAGCCAACTTGGCCCAGCTCCTCTGCCAAGCATACCTGACCGAAGTCAGAGAAATGAAATTGACAGTCTCTCAAAATGTTGAACACAGTTATCTAAATGAGAAAAGTAGCATCAAAATAGTGCTATTAGCTCTCTGTGTACATATACACCAAGGGACCACAACAGTGACTGAACCTTCGAGGTCGTCCACTTTTAGTTTGAGTGCGTCGTTCTCGTCTTTCAGGCTAGCGACCGTCTTCTCCAAGCAGGTCATGCGGTTCTCATGGTCCAGCACTTGCTCTTCCACCGACTCTACCTTCTCCAATAGTTCCCTTTGAGAGCTTTGCACCACCTGAAGTGTCTGCTCTAATTTATCAAACCTGCTGTTGATGTGGTCAAGGATCTTGTCAGAAACTTTCTTCCAGATTAACACCAGATGCTCCGTGTCGCTGGAGTCATGACCTGGCAGGCTACCGCTAGCACTGATGACGACTCAACGTTTTTGAATGACTACTTTGGCATGTCGTTGCATAAACATGACATGCCATAAACTGGTTAAGCCCCTCGTGTATAAAGTTAAGAAGGAGAAGATATACTTTATTGGTCCCCTAGGGGGAAATTGTTTTTTCACTCCATTTTTTTATACACACACACACACACACACACACAGGCTGAAATGCACACTTCATGCACATGTGGACATGCAAAGGGGAGAGATGGTGGAGTGATGGGGCTGCCGCGTTACCAGCGCCCCATGAGCAGGTTTCGGGGTTAGG